TATATATATATACCTAATGCGTAGAGTTTTCCCTCCAATACTGCACAGGCTAATGCACTCCTGGGTCTGTTCATTGGTGCCACAAACTCCCAGACGTTGGCCTCCGTGTCTAATCTCTCAACAGTGCGAAGCTGACTTGTGCCATCATATCCCCCCACTGCATACACATACTGGTCCATAGAGACTACGCCTGGATGAGAAATAACAAAAAGCTACAATTTAAATACTGTGCAAAGAAAAAACCTCTGAAATGCTGAAAACATCCTAAAGAGTTGTATTTCACTTGGATTTGGAATTTATGTTTTGTTGAACTACACATCCAATAATGATAAAGCAAAGCATGCATTTTATATTTGCATATCATGTGCACAACATGTACATATATTTTTATTACTCATGTATGCATTCAATGTAACAATACACAGTGCAGGTGTGCATTTGTATGACATTTTAGTTTCAAATTTATCTAGTACACACTGCAGAAAATAGATGTGCAAGGCAACAGTAATAACTTCAAACACCAGGCCAGAACTGGGTATACTTAATACACACAGATAATCTGCAAATCCTGCACAGACAGCCATTATATCACAGTGAAACCATCATTAGCCTTAACAGCTACAGCCACTGGTGCTTCTAACTACATGAAGGAGACCTCTTGGGCATAGAAATGGTGCTAATGTCTTTATAATTAGGAACTCATGGCTAAAATCAAATCAATCTGCTGTAGCCCCCCCCCCCAAAAAAAAAAAAAAGTGGGGGAGTGTAAGCAAATTCACTGCCAATTTAGGCAGCGTCAACAATGAAAACACTTCAAGATATCACTGTAAGATTTTGCAACTATTTCAAGATAAATGAAATTCTCTGTCCTATGTACGTGACAACCAGCATTGACTGAATGACTCTGCAATCAGTTATCAATTATGAATGTTGCATACCGCCCCACACATATAATCTAGATATCTGAGACACATCAATATGAAAAGATAATTTGCATGCATTTTACTTTCGATGTTCAGACTAGATGTGCTGCTAGTACATGTGCACTATCTAATAAAATAAGTTTTATAATTCCTTATTATAAAGTCAGAAATATAACAAAATACTTAGGTCAAATCACAAAGAAACCTTTCCTGTGAATTTCAACAACATGTCCATTGCATTGCAGAAAACATATCCTGTTTCAAAAGATCATTTATCATAATATAATGTATATTTCAACAATATTTATTGTAAACCTCTGATCGAACATTTGCAGGTTATAACCTATCCAGCCCACACTGAAATAAGGGCGGCGCTCTCGATAGTATATAATTGTATCTATAAAATGACAGTGTACTTTTCTGTTTAAAATAATTGTCAAGACATTCCAGTATGATGTTTCAGACTGGCACTAGCTGGTACATATATTTAACCTGGGAACACTTCACAGGGTGTCACTGAACAATTTACAGGTATATCTATCAGTTAAACTGCTGTAAGATGACTGAAAATCATGCAAAAATACTATCTATAATACATCTATACACCGTGCATGACTCTGAAAAGTGAGGGCCCTGATATATTGTAACACCCTGGCACTAGTTTGAGTGCCACATGCCTTTCTCTGTCTTTCTGCATTATCTGTGGTAAAAATCAGGCACAGTACCAGTCACAGATTTACAAGTAAAATCATGCATCTGTATTTCACTTAAAACTCAGAGATTCACATTGTACGTATTACATATTGACATCTTCATGATTGTCAACTGCCACACATACATGTAGATAATTCTGGGATCATTGGACAATGTGGCAATGCTGTAACTTAAACTATATTACAATGTGCAGAGATTACTTCAAGAGTACCATGAAATTTGGAATCCCCTAAACACATACTCCCCAGTCCATATTTTATAATAAAATAAATACTCCCCCATGAAATCTACACTGAGTCTCTCCTGTGTGCTTCATCATACATAATGCAAGTAAACAAGATGATACAGTGAATCCATACAACACTTGCGCCTTTTAGTGGGAGGAATGCTTATTTCTTGGGGAGTCCATATTTCATGCTAAAATCGGTACACATGTACTAACCAGCTCCACTCCGTGTTGTATTCATGGAAGCCAGCAGTTTCCACTCGTCAGTCTCTGGGTAATAGCACTCTGTGGAAGCCAGTCTGTTATGTCCATCAAACCCTCCCACAGCATACAACAGGCGATTGATAGTTGCCACGCCCACCCCTATCCTGGGAGTGGCCATTGGGGCCACAAATGACCATTCTTCTCTCTCCGGGTCAAACCTGGAGAAAAAAAATAAAACAGTGACGCCAATTATACAGGAATAAATTCAATCAGAAAGAAATTTTCACCCAGCCAGCTTTAAGCTAAATGAAGGTGGGAGTGATGAGTGGAATCCGATTAGAGAGTTCCAAAATATGGAAGAATTTCTAATCTGATTAATTAACAACAAGAGTTCATTTTTACAATAACATGTAAACTTGAAAGAAATTTCTATCCAATTGAAATTCTTCCAAGCATTGTGCCATTTTAACAAATATCCAGAAGTTAATTTGAAATAACTGATATTTTTTCCTAACTTTGTGCTATGTTGGCACATGTTCAGTTGAGGTTCTAATCTGCAAAATAAAAAATTTATATTTACATTATAAATAACCTACCTCTCCACAGATTTATGATGTATAGTTCCATGTGACCCTCCAACAGCATACAACATACCATCAATATTCCCTACCCCCACTCTATTCCTAGGAACTGACATGGGAGGCAGTGTCCTCCATAAATTTGTAAAAGGTTCATAGCAGTCTGCGGCATTGGAATCCATATTCCCATCAGGGGAGTTATTCCTGCCACCTACAGCATATATGATATGATGAACGACAACAGTGGCGAGCCCACTCCGAGGCAATGGAAGATCAGCGAGTTTAAACCACTCCCCCGTTTGGGGGTTGAATGCTTCGAAATTGCTTAAAGACTGCCTGAGATAGCCTCCTGCAGTGTATATCACAGGTGGGGCAGGGGGTAACCGCCTACGATCCGTACATTTTTTGTGCAACGTCAAATCAGCAAATATCCTCTCAAGGTAGACTTTACAAGAAGGATTGTTTTTGAGGACATCACAGTATTTGATTTGCTGTTTGAGGAAGCCTGGGGTGAGGAAGTGGCACCTTACAGCGCATAATAACTGTTCTAATTTGGGCCGACGTCGGTCCTCGTCTTGTTTCACCCATTGTATCACAGCATTATAAACTTCGGACTCACAGCGCACGTTCAGTTCGTCCTGGTTAATTAAATGCACCATTTGGCATGGCGATAACATTAAAAATTCCTCGCTCTGGCAAACCTGGCTAAAATGTTTACAGATATACTCCCGGGCTTTATTGTTTAACTCTGTACATCCATGTTCCTGAGCAAAGTTAGCAATTCCTATACAATTACTGGGGTCCAGTTGGTGTTCTAAAAACGTACAGCATGCTTCCACAACATGCGTCATTTGGAACATTGTGGCAGCAGGGAGAAGATAGCACACATTCATCTCATTGATATGAATCTCTGCCGTGTAAGCAAACTCTATGAGAGTGGCTAAAGTACATGGAGTAATTCCCTGAAGCGGGATATCAGCCATCCCACACTCCCGCATCCCACTTGTAAACATGGCTTTGAAATACGGGCTGGCTGCTGCCAGGACTAGTTTGTGCGCTAGAAACGACTCATCACCTGCGATTAGTGTCACATCGCAGAGCTTCTTAGCATGGCGCAAGGTATTGATCACCTCAAAGGACTCTTTGGTTTGTTTCATTATGGTAAAATGCATGCTCCCATCCAGAGGCCTGTCGCCTGAAACAGGCCTGGGCCTATAGCAGCCACCTTTGTTAAGTGGGTTTGACCCACACTCCTTTTTCAGAAGCTGGTTAGACCCACACTCTTTCTTCACCGGTGCAGACATCCTCAGTCTTTGTTACAAAACTCACTTTGGTTGGTCTAAGGTCCCATTGTAATCTGAAAGAGAAAAGCAACAACATATTTCTAAAATGCTAACTGTATTTCTTAAGACAGGACCAATTTTTTCATTCATGATTGCTGGCTTATTCAAAAGCAAACACATCACTCATTCTGACATGTCCATGTAACATAAATCTTCTCTGACTCCAACAGGACTGTTCACTTACATAAGAATTCTTTCACCTGTACTAGATAAGTTTGGCCTATCCTTGACTGCTATTAATCATGAATCATTTTCAGTTTTAGTGTCTGGGATCCTATTCACAAGACCAGTGCACAGTGGTGATTTTTCTTTACCAAATACACAATTTTACATATTTTAAGCTATGTGTAATGATATCATGGGTTTAAAAACTATATATGCCTAGAGAATTATTATGACAATATGCCCTCTAAAAAATGTAGTATCTGTTGGTCAGTTAAAACAGCATTGTTTCTGAATTAATGAATTATATATATATATATATATATATATATATATATATATATCATGTATAATTCATGAATTTTCTATATATATATATATATATATATATATATATATATATATATATATATATATATATATATATATATATATATATATATATATCTTCGCTCCAATGTTCTATAGCTAAAGGATTCAAAAATTCTTAAATGTAGCATATCATTACAAGGTTCATTATACAGCAATCAATTCCTTAATAGTAAGGCAATAAAATGACAATGACAGTGGCATAAATCCATATGAAGACAAGAAAAACAATTATATTGTAGTTTAGATTATTGTCTTCAACAAAAAGTCTAGTACAAATATCACAATGACTTTAAAAAAACAGACAAACAAAAAACAAAAACTGATTCAAGGTCAATCTAGAATTAAGTCAACAGAGTCATGTCAATCTTTCAAATTTTTGAAAAGGAAAAAAAGCTGGATGCAAAATATTCATATCACAGTTCCTCTTTGCTAGTTATATCAATTATTGGCACAGGCCCATTAGCTCTACCTTAAAATCAATAAAGCCATTGTATTTCCTTCTTCCATCAGTCTGGTTCCAGGGGCCCTTAGAGTTTTATAAAGTCCAGCCTGCTGTCACATTTAAATACCAGGATGACACAGCAACTTTTTGGACGGCTGGCTCATATATCATACTACAGCCTTGTCCTTGGATTGGCTGTTGTTCTCCTTGCTGCATGATATAATATGCGTGGGGAATATTTGCTAACTTTTCAAAGTACTTCATTAAATATTTTGCCGAATTATGTTTTAGTTACAGCAGGTGATTGGTTGGAGTCAAGTCCGTTCACTGCATCACATGTCATGGTACACGTGAGCAAATGGAGCTAAGACAGTAAGGCAGAACATACCGCCTCAACCCAATTATAGCAAATATATTTTTTGGGGGTCTTGATATTTGACAGTCATAAAAAGCAGAAATAACTTTAATCATATTCATATTTTTCACTGCAATTATATAAAAGCAGTTCAATTTATAATATCAACATTTGGCACTCGTTTCTTTCAAAATCTGAGGGTCATGTGTAGATAAGTACATACACTTTACATGTTTTACCCTCTTTAAATTAAGTTTATTATCATTGTAAAATTCTTTCTCAAACATTCAAATTTCATCATTATTTCATTATGTACGCCACAAATAGATCTGACCATAAATTTAAGATAAAAAACCTATGCTTTATGATTTATTAAACAGCTTAAACCACATGTAGGGCGAGTGTCAAAAACTATGCTTTCTCTTCCTGGTTTTGAGTGGGAAATTAGCACTCAAATTCATTTGGGCAAAGAAACATGAAATACCTGATAACTGGTTGGTAATTTCCCTGAATATTTTTATAACCCTGAATTAATCAGAACTATTAGTCCAACAATTATTTCTAATTCACCACTCTGATGTGATCATATTAAATCCAGCTGTCTGTACACTTCCTTTTTTAATTTTTCAATTTTATTTCAAGAACTGTTCAAATTAATTTTGAGTAAAGGAAAACAATAAAAAAAAACCTAATAGCATGTATTGTCTAAACTATGGATCAACTATCTCAAAGAAAAAATTACACCTGTTAAATATATGGGCAGCACCCACAATATCAAGATATCAGAAGGCCCTCAACCCTTCAATATCTTCCTAGTCATGTCTGCAAAGCATTGTGAATTTTATACAGAACCAGACAAACAATGCTAATTATCCACTTCAGGTATAACAAGGACTCTTAAGTATTTGAGACCAAGCATTATCCTCACTGATAACAGTTTAAAGTTTGTCTAAGCAAACTTGCATTTACTGGTACCTTCAGCATTTGAACAACCATCTCAGTATATAAACTATTTCAAATATTAACTAACTGTGTATTGTAGACAGATAAAAAAAATCATCATCCACCAGTTGTTTTTGACTCTTATATAGTATACATCTCCAGCCTTGATGTCCTGCCACAGGTACATGTGTACTCTGCAGTGAGGCATATGGAAATAGATTCAAAGCATAATGAAAAATATCATAGATACATACCTAGAGTAGGTATCCTACTTTTAACCTTCAATGTTATCATTCACTAAATCAATGGTAATCCTTACGTCACTGCAATGAACTGCTTATCTTTTCATTAATAATGTGCTTAGCTATAATTGCAAACACTTTTAAGTGTGATTGCAAACATTTGAAGTGATTTCTTAAGCATCTTACATTTACATGTATCTTTACTAAATGGTCAGTCCACAGTAGAAGAGGATTGTCTTATTCATGGTACCTGTTTCACAAAAAGACAATGTAGATCTAACTTTTATACCAAAATGTGCGTCTTGTTTGACCCACAATAAATCAGCAGTGGTCCACCTAAATGAAATATTCTGCTTGTTATATAACAAGAAGCAGAAAATGACACTGCTTAAGACCATTTGCTACCCTACTTACGAGTAGCTATAGACTGCTGCGCTTTTATCCCCAAATAAATTGGACCAAAAGTGTGCTCTCAAAGTTAAGAACACTATTCAGGCTTAAGTTTCATGCATTACTGGGTATATCAAAACCAACTCTAGGGTATTAGTCATACTTGTATTACAATAATATTTTTAATGTTTCATAACTTACAGTCTACATATTATGCAGCCAATGGCATGATCACTCACCTGGACAAAAGCTATATAATATATAGGCAAATAAAAAGTAAACTAGTACATATCCATAACCTAGGTCTACAAGGGTACCCACATTTCCCTCCATAACCTAAGAAGTCGGAGCACATGCCATCTCTCACAGTACATGGTTCAAGGTTGGCCATTAAAAGACAGTTCAATAGGGAAAGTGAGGAAATCCATTGCCTTAATGAGACTATACAGGTCTACAGGATTTTTGTGGTCTTTAATCTAATATGTAAGCTATATGTAAGATACAGATAAGCCCCAAAAATGACCATTTTATTTTAAAGGCCTGGTCAGATCTCCCTGCTTCCCATGTGGGAAATAATGGGTTGTAACAGCGTTGCAAATTATAGTCAAAGGGCGTAACAATTTAGCCACAACAAAAGCACAATAGACACAGGGGTGATAAATAAGACAACTTCATGATTATTTCCCTAGTAAGATGGAAAGTATGTAATATGACAGTTCTATTGCAAAAAAAAAAACACATATTAATATATCAGATTACTCCCCTTGAAAAATCACATGCTGTATATTGTACATGAATTACCTAATATTTGCCTAGAGTGGGATATTTAACTTTATGCTATAAATTTTGAAAATTTACACCTTTATGTGAAGAGTTACTAGTAGCTAGGTGTGACTTAGGCAAGCGATTTAACTTTTGAATTGGTGACGTAAATCCAAGTGACCTAAAAAAGTCCATTGATGACTAAGCAGTTTCACTATTTGTCCATAACCTGAAAACAAATATTAGCATGTGCAATTCATGGCTTGTTAGGTCATGCAAGTATGCCTTATAAGACAGGTCAAAAACTTGGCACAGGTCTTCAATAAAGACAAAAAATATGCATGTTCATTTTATCCAGGCACGTATGGTGGATGAGCATCTTGACCCCACAAAAAATCATCAGAGACTACCAGTGCCATTCTTTATACACACTACTTGGGAGAGGTTACTCTAAATCCTTTTTCTTTTCCTTTTTCCTTAACCAAATATTAATCTTTATGACAAAATTATCATTAAGTGGCCTCAATAGATCGCCTGTCAGAATTTCCCGCCCTTTTTTTACAACTGTACCTTGCAACAGAACTGTCAGTGTGAAGATTTTAGATGATAATTAATAAAAAACATATCATATTGTTATATATATATATTTATGACTATTAAACTGTTATGCCTTGGGAGAGCCACATCTGGCCACTGTTAAGACTAAGGAGTGGTCACATTAGGATGACATTTATTCAGGTGCTATACTAATATATAATCACACCTGTCTATGCCAGTCCTAGGATCAGCTATTCAAAGGTGTAACAAGTACATCTGAGCAGTCAGACTAGCTGTGATTGTTTAAATTTCCCTTCATTTTCATTGGGCACATTCAGATTCACACACTGTGCTAAGTGGGTTGGGGGGGGGGGGGGAATTCTCTCTTAAGTGCAATCAGTGGCACATTGATGTTTTAAATTATTTTAAAATTACTGCTAAAACAGGAATGTCAGACAATTAAGCTCATTCCACTGATTGCACTTTAGCACAAATCACCTGCAGACTGGGCCTGACCCAGCTAGAATGAATGTGGTCATTGTGAAAATGTTACAGATATTACAAGTGTATGGCACACATTCAATTGTTAAAGAAGTCTCCGTGAGTGTTTAATAAAAAATAATGCAAATTACATTCCTGGTACTAGTTACCAAAATGCAGTGCACATGCAGCAGAGTGTTTAATAAAAAATAATGCAAATTACATTCCTGGTACTAGTTACCAAAATGCAGTGCACATGCAGCAGATGCTATATTATGACTAGAGCCCATGAACTGCAGTATACTACACAGTACAGACATGCACTTGGGACTCCTAACCTTGTCAAATCTTTCAGTTTTGTGCTCTTACTAATGAAAGTGACTTTCATTCCACCTAATTCAATTTTTATTTCATTTTTTTTTTGTCAAAATAAAAAATACTGAACAAAATTGCAATAATGACATTCATCAATATACAATGTTTCAAAATCAAAAGAAAATAAAAATTATTTAGCTCAACTGAATAAATACCATTTCATTAGGATAAAAAAGATTGCTCAGATCCTGTATCTAAATAATATTAAATATCTATAAAAAGTTAAATGGACATCCATGCACACTTCTATTCCTTAAAAGTACTACTGGCACTATATATTCTTAGATAATATATCAATGAGCATAGAGAACAGTTACTGTAATTTCTTTCCAAATGTGTATATCTTATCATTCTGGGCCATGTTCCCAGTTAATGTACCAGTTGCTTCTTTTAAGTCAGCTATATTCTGATTGAAATGCTAATAATATCTCTGATAACATTGCCTTAACGTACTGAATGCACCTCTCTATATGAACTCAACATCACTGTAAAAAGATACCTTACGCAATCTACTTAATACATATTAAAGGACCATAAAAACACAAGGTGAAAAATTGCACCACCTTAGACTAAAGTTTGTAAGGCTCATTAACCTCCTCAAACACCTCAAGCTTCATTTAACCTGATCAATATTAAACTGTCATTGCCTCTTAGTCTTACAGAAAAAAATATATATCCAACACAGGGTACAGACTGTTAGACTCACATCCTAAACACTGAGCTGGCTGGTAACTCAAGAAACCATCTTCAGTCACCTGTGAACACTACTAGTGTGTCTCTCTCACATAAACCAAGGAATACAATCCGACCTCTAAATGGGCTTTTTAATCTTAAGTAATAAAAGACTAGACAAATGTTCAAATTGTGTTTTTGAACCAGGACGTTCCATTTTTTTTCATTCCTTTTTTCTCTTTTGATGAAAAATATTATGGTATCAAAACATCATTTCATATAAGAATATCTTAGGGTGCTGTGTGGGGAGGTTAATTAAAACAAACAAATAAAAAAAACCAGGAAGTAGTTGATCTGATAACTGAGTAGCCAACCCACATACTAAGGGCGTTGACCTTCAGATTACTTCCTGGGATTAATAACAGGTTTATGCCATGGCCATTTTTAGAGCAACAAAATACTTGATAAAAATTACATTCTGATAATCAGGAATTTGTTGTAACTCTCCAATACAACCACTAAACATCAGGTATTGATTGACCCATCTAAAAAAATATTTAGAAGTAATTTTTTATGTTTTTTATGACCCAGGCTACCATTATGTTATGTTATGCAGGTTGTTCTGATACAATTCAACATAACTTTTTTCCAAGGCTATGATTAACTACTTGTGGGATACATACATATCTTTGTACTATATCAACATTGTATTGAAAATCAGTGATAGATTTATAAGCACTGTTACAACATGGAAAATGTAAATACTTCTTTCGTCTCAACTGGTTACTGAACATTCTTTAGACACAAATTAATATTCTACAAAATGTTTGGGGGATCATGTCACTGATTTGTCACCAGGAATACCTGACCAAAAGCAGTCACTGTGGCAGTAAGGGCATGGTCAAAGCCAAGAGCTTGTCTGCATCTAAATTATAATTTGGACAATCTGGTTGAAAACTAACAGATATTTCCATCCTCTATAAGGGCAAGTCAGTAATTTACATCAACCCATTTGTACCTAGAACAGTTTTCAACTAGAACCAAATTGAGCCTTCAGGAGTCTATACATGCCCACAATCTGTTGATCAACTCTTTAGCATTTACACACTATAAGCACCCGAACCACTCTCCCACCCATCATGTCTACTCCGCAGAAGCCCTGCTATGTTAATCAATTCAGATTTAGATTCAAAATAAAGCTAAAAGTAACTTTCATGATTCAGTACTTTATTTTTACTACACGGGTAAGTGAATGTTGTTTACATATTGGAAGAAGCCTTACATGGCCTTACATGTACAGTACAGTAAGTCCTAGGCTGAAAGCCTACTGTTGTTTACTGTTTTGCTATATTTATCATAACGAAATTCACACGAAATACTAGCGTGTATACTGCCAAAGAGTTTCACCTTTTTCTAAAAATTTAAATCATATTTCAGGGTGTCACTGACAAATTTATTAACTGGGTAAATTAAAATAGCACGTTAATGTACATGGACATGTACACTGATGTACAGTGTATCCCCAAGCTACATTGTTAAAAAAAATGTGTGAAAAACGTAAAAATAACCTTACCTTTGATTAGATCCTTCTGCTTATAAATCTAAGATCAATCCGAACAATAAATTGGGATGATAGAATCCATGAGTAACAAGTAATTTTGAAGAAGTAGGTGGGAAAATGTCGAGTCATCTGGCATATTTATTGAAACGGCCTTGAGATGTGACCTTTTTCGTACACAAAGGTCAAATCGTTGCCATCCTGGATATCTATATCTATTAAAGTAAACCATTGCCTTATAATTATGTCTATAAAGGATTCATTTGTCATTTATTATTTCTAGAGATAAAAGCACATTTTCACATCTCGGGTAAATTGTATTTGCATTTCTTTATAAAAGGCAGCACATTTTCACCTTATTTCACCCGAGAGGCTAATAGCCTCGTTTTCAATCCATCCACATTTGAAGGTTGGTAAATTTTAACACAGGCTGAGGGCAACTGCCGTTAACACAGTTAACAGATGTATTCAGAGGTGCCCTCTAGCGGGGAATCCCAAAGCCCACGTTAGAATATGGCTTCACATTTTGAATCGAAGTGAATAATTGTGCTGCAAAGATGTGGAATTCACAGAGCTTTTACGGTATGATTGGAATTAACGTTGTCTTTCACACGGTTATGACAGTACAGAGTCTGGTGCAATTATGTGTAACGGTTTTTTATATTTTGTGCTTTAATTATTTTAAGACTGTACACTACTACACTAGATCTTGGTTACACTAGTTTAAAATAATGGTAACATGTACAAGTTACATTCGTTGACCAGTACATGTACAATGACACCCCCGCCATCGGGATTCAATTGATTTTCGTTTAATTTACACAATGAACAGTCTCTACTATCCCACAGAAGAGGGAAAAAAAGCTGTACTGGACACAAAATATCATGTTTTGTTATTTTGATATAAAATAATTAAATTAATGACTTAAAATAACATTGTAAATACTCCATATTGCACAAGATGGGGGTACCCCTTTCAGAGCTCCAGCTATTAATTACTTGTCTACTTATTAATCCTCAATTTTTAAAAAAGCATCAATACCTTAATTTGTCTGTTAACATTTAGGTAAACTCTTGGATGGATGGGAGAAGTCAGAAACCAGGAATGGAGTTCCCTATTACATCAAGTAAGTATGTACTACCAGTATACATGCATATGCTGCTGTACATTTTTGTGCTCACTCTTGTTATTCAGGGATTCTAGGGGTCAAGGTATTATAAGGTAATATACAGGGATGCAGTGGATGTTGACATGCCACTCTGACTGCCGTGTCCCTAGATCTCCTTTGAATCCTGAAACATCCCATAGTCTTCTATTAATGTTACCATGCTTTCGGTAAGAAGTGATATATTTTTCTTAAATGAACATTTAATACCTTAGAGCTCAGCCAAAAAGGTTATATCCCCCCCCCTCCCTTAACCAGATCCACCCTGAATCTCCCCCTGGTTCTGCTAGGGGCAATATTTTTAATGTGTTCTAGGTATTTATTGGACAACTTAATAACTTATATCCAAATGTATTTTATATCTTTAAAATATACATTTATGGTTTCATATGCTTTGTTATGCAGCAAAGCAAGATTTTTTTAATATACCCTTATGTTTTGTTTACATACACAGAGTTTTCTGACATACTCTTTTCTTTATCATTCCAGTCATAAAAGTGAGAGAACTCAATGGGACCATCCTTTCCTTAGCAAAACTTTGGAGGAGCTAGGTAAAACATCAGATCATTTATAGACAACACAACTTAGCCTCGACTGTAGAATAGAAAGAGCTTTTCATCTTGTATTTATAACATTTCACACAATTCGTTCAGGAATTTGTGATTATAGTTTTATGGTGCAGTGAAATAATTGAATGTGACAGATGAGAATAACATATCTGTTTTCAGCTGAATTTGATGATGTCAGGTATGCAGCGTACAGAACTGCCATAAAGCTGAGGTTTCTACAGAAAAGATTAAAGTGTAAGTGAACAGTACCTTTTATTATAAAAAGTATGGAAGAGGCCAGAAGATGATGTTAATTGTTACTAAAACAACATACCTTAAAGTGGATTTTAAGTTTTGTTAATAATACATTTTGCAAGTTTGAAGTGTTGATTTTTAAAAAAATTACTTGGCACACTTTAAAGCAAGGCCTAAATATATATACGCTGCTAGAATTTGCCAGGTAAGATATTATTTAACATTGACCATAAGCCAAGTGTATAATTTGCACCTAGCAGTAGAGAGAAATTCTTCATTTATCACATTGCTCCCTGCAGTTTTCATTTAGATATTTATAGAACGTAACAAAATATTGATGGACATGACATTTGCTATATATATATATTTCAGTGGACCTAATCACTCTCCCTATGATAAGCAGGGCGTTTGATGACCATGGGTGGTCAAGCAGTCAGGACAGTGTGATCACCTGTGGAGAGCTGGAGACGGTCATCATGGATATCTTCTATAAAACAAGGAGAGGGAAGCCAGGCAGCCTTACCATTGAGCAGTCCACAGAAATACTCCTAAACTGGTTGCTCAACATGTATGACATGTAAGTACTAGTAGCTCAATATGTATGAAATATGACTTGTTACCTAGGCTTTCCTGAGAGAGCTGTCCAGCTGTCATTTGGATGGCCAGTAGTCTCAATGGATGGCCTTTATTTCCAAAGATGGCTGGATGGCATATAAAATTTTGTGGTAATGACGGTTTGGTTGGTTGGGCTTGCATGGGTTGGACTCTCTGTAAATCGATGACCAAATTGACTTGCTGAAATTGATATGAGATGTTCTAATTGTGGAAATGACATTAGTTGGAATACATGCTGTATTGCAGAACTTGCACTTGACCTTATTATAACAAGGAAAATATTTTATTTACATATCATGTGTTAATGTTTCAGACATAGGACAGGGTATGTCAGAGTCATTTCTGCAAAGATAGCCATGGTTGCTCTGTGTTCTGCAAGGCTGGCTGAGAAGTACAGATGTAAGTATGGAGCTGAATTCAAATCTCAAAATTTAGATTGGATGCATGATTTTCAAGAACACTTCTTACAAGCATAACAATATTTTTGTGGTCTCTTTGGGTATCATAGCAGCTTAAGATATCTTCATATAACATATAACATGTTAAGTAGCTACTTCAAAACATGTCATAGTTGTGAATTCAGCACAATATTCAATTGATTTTGTTTAAGTTTTTATTTATTATTATTATTATTGTATTTTTTTTCCAGATTTGTTTTCCCAACTCAGTGATTATGACAACACAATATCAAGGAAACGTTTAGGACTGTTTCTGCATGACTTACTGCAGGTGATTGGTACACCCTCATATCAAACAGTTTTTTACCAGGCTGTGTTTTGACAGAGTGATCAGTCTATGTGTTATGTCATACCTACAGTAGGATTTTTTTTTTTTGTCTGTAGAAGTTATAAACATAAATCATGACGCGTATTTTAACCCTTGTGATCATTTCAGGTAGCTGAACTTTTGAATGAGTGTCTGCCATTTGGTGGAATGGCTGCAATAGGTGCTGCAATCGACAGTTGTTTCAGTATGGTTAGTTTTAACATTTTGATTTGTTCTTGTCATGAAAATTATCACCCATATAAATAACATGTTATGTGAGCTGTTTAAAGACCATTGATTTGAACATTGTGTTTATTTTGTCTTTGTCTTTTCTGTTTTACTGTTACAGTAGTGATATTTTCTTGCCTATTTTGTGATTGACTTGTACTTGAATAGACCTCATTCCGAGTTACACAATAAAGATTTTTTATTTATTTACTTATTGCTTTTTACACATGTATTTTAAAATTTCATTACATTTTTGTGCACTTCACTTCTGTCATTAGTCTCGCAGTACCACTGGTGTAGAAGAGTTTTCCTTCCTGGACTGGATGTTACTTGAACCTCAGACACTGGTCTGGCTGCCTACAATGCATAGGATGGCTGCTGCAGAGTCAGGTAAGTCAAATAACATTATTTTGTGTCCCCTCCCACCTTTACCCTTGCATGCACACGCACGTATACACGCATGCACACACACACACACACACACACACTTTGCAATGGGGTTCCTTTTCTTCTCACTGGGCACTATTCTTTGTAGTCCCCTCAGGATTGTGCACTATTTGGTAATATTTACTTTGTTGGAACTTCTGATAAAGCCTCTCTTACTGTGTAAGACATCTGTATCATGTGCAGAAGAGCTGATAAGTCTCCTAGACATAAGCTTAATCCAGGATAATATCTTTATATATATACAAACCACAAATATTAAATATTGGCAGTATATGTTGAGGGGCATACCTTTTCATAATCAGCTTTATTCATTTATTCTTCTCATTTCAGTTAAACATGAATCTAAGTGCAATATATGCAAGGAATACCCAATAATAGGATTTAGGTAATATATTCTTGTTTTGCCTTTCAGTATGAAAAAGAATATATTCATCTCATCTTAAAGTTTTGGAATAGAATGTTTGCATATGTATATCTTTAGAGTAAAAAAATTCCAAGGGTTTTATTTATTAATTGACCAGAGAGTGCCATATATATTTAATTAAAAAAAGATTATAAATGAATTAATGAATAACTAAAAAAGTAAAGAAATTATGAATAGAACTAATATTAATCTGATCAAATTTGCTGCACTTGGAGTTAAGCTGCAATATGTGTTAACTAACCATACTTTCACATGTTTATTCTTCTGCCAATGATACAAGGGCACATTTCTTCACTCCATTTCAATATTTTCAGATACAGGTGCCTGAAATGTTTTAACTATGACCTATGTCAACAGTGCTTTCTGACAGGACGAGTAGCCAAGAAGCACAAGCTAACACACCCTATTGAAGAGTACTGTTTAGCAGTGAGTATCATTCTCTTCATATATTATGTAGGCTGGAATTGGTGAAGAAATATGGGAATTTTTACTCAAAAAGTCAAATAATGGTGAGAGAGGATGTGTTCACGATGAAATTAACTAGGTAGTTCAAACTAACCCCTTGAGGACTTTTGAGAATGCAGGCAGATAAACAGATTTACAGGCCTTCTCTTGTTTCCAATGTAGTCATGTAATCTCCAGTTTTTCTGTACTCTACTTAAAGCCATAAGGAGGTGTGTTAATCTTTTAATCTGATTACATTCAGCGAGTGAGTCCCCACTAATACAAAGTTTCATTGTGTATGCCCCCTATGCTGTGCACAATAAGATAGGACATTTATATTTTATAATTATTTTATCTTATATTTGATGTTTTAAGTAAGTAGTTAAGTCCTGTCATGTTCAGGCATGCATCTTTTATATTTTTAATGGTTGATTTTTGTCTTTATTTCTGATTTGTCTTCTTCAGACAACCTCCAAGGAAGACACTAAGGCATTTGTAAAGACTGTCAGGAACAACTTGAGTAAAAGACACCACAAGAAATACAAGCCACGGTATCTTCCTATTAGAGGGGATGGACAGCCCATGGAAGAGGACTTGTAAGTAGTAGCCAAAGTAATTTTTTTTTTTTTTTTTTTTTTTTTTTTTTTTTTTTTCGTAGACAACCTTTATGTGAAGTTATGTAGGTGGGACAAGATTTCTCTTTTGAAATATTTTCCTGTTCGATTTTGAATGAAAGGGCAAGTGGGTTTTTGAAATGTGTGCAACTTTTAGAGGTGATATTCAAGTATAATTTGAAAGATTGTAAGTCTTCCATTGATTTGAAAATTGTTTTACTTTAGATTGTTGTCTATATAATAAAATTGAAGAATTTACTGAACGTCTCATTGCCTCATCAACAATCCTGACAGCATATTTCTTATTCAGATCTTGTATGGTTTTTGGCTTTCATTTTTCCAGTACTGTCTTAACAAGTATTTGTTATAATTTAACTGTCCTTTAGCACTGATGCAGTACCAGAAGCTGATGCTGACATGCACCAGTTATTACAGAGTGCAGCTAGGAAGCTGGCCCAGGCAGAGACACAGGCCCCACCAAGACAGTCCTCTAAGATGCTACAGACTGACATGGCAACAGGACCAAAGCAGGTACTTGTTGAGGTGGAGGGAAGGAGTAAAAAAATTATGTTGATAGAAATCTAGAAGTACTTTTATCAATAGATTGAGAAATAAAATGATACTTTCTATTTATCGTTAATAGTTTTCTTTAAGATATTGATAAAGCTTCTATAATTTTATTGATATGACATTGCTGATGAAGATTTTCAATATATAACTTGTAGAACTAAAAAGCTGCACTCTACATGCTTTATCATAAAAAAGAAGTTTGAAAAAGTTCAATATAGCTTCATAACAAGGTTGTTAGTTTTAATCTAAATTTGAATTTATTGTTGGCAATTTCAGCATAAAAGTGTTTTTGAAACGAATATTTAAAAATTTGCCAAAAACACTGGAAGAGGAACACCTCTGCTATTTTAGTGTCAATGAAAATTATGCTTAAATTTTTTTATCAATCTTCTGCCAGCAGGTCACCCCTCCAAAAATGTACAACATTGTTCCCAATGAGCAGCGGAGAGAACTAGACAGTATTATTCATCATTTAGAGGATGAAAATAGGTATGTGTTCTTTTCTGTATATAATATGAAGTTCCAATACTATGCTGAAAAGATTAAAGATACATGCAGCATTTTTATGTACAGACACAGATGTGTCTGTACATATTGCCATCACCTGCGTCTGTCGTCGCCGATGCCGTCGCCGGCGCCGTGCACTTTCCTTGTAAACACGATAAGTGGAGGGCAGTTTTACTTTTTGGCTTTATATTTACAGAGCTGATGAATATTCATAAAACGCAGGTCAAGTTCGAAAATCAGCATGATCGGGCCATTATTGTAGAAGTTATGCTGTTTTTTCACTTTTCAGCATATTTTTCACATTTCCTCAGATTCAATTCTTAGGCATGTTAACAGTCTCATTATTAAACTAATTAGATACGTAAAAGTTTTTGTTTAACATTTCCTGCATCTTTACAACATTGTCAGTTGATTTTGTAAAAATGATGGTAAACTTGTTATCGCGTATTGTGTAATAAAGTTTCAAAAATGGAAATAAACTCATATCATTGCAGTTTGTCAGATTCAATCATTCACTATGTTCAGAATCTCAGAATGGAAGAAATTGGACATTTAACACTGCTCTATTGATATTTTTCCCATCTCATCAATTTTCTTAGTTGATCATATAAAAATGGCAGTAAACTGTTAATTTTGTTTTATGTTAAAAATTGTTAAAAATGGAAAAAAAAAA